CAGTGTGTGTGTGTGTGTGTAGTCAGTGTGCGGGACAGTAGTCTTTCCTTCTGTCATGCGGGGTCTGGGCATGGAACTCGCATCTTTAGGCAGTGACCTTACCCACTGAGCCATCTCGCAGGTTTGAGACTAGGTTAGTGCTTGTCTATCATGTACAATCCCTAGGTTAGATCCTCGCCTGAATAAAACTGGCTGTGGTGCACACACTCACAGTTCAAGGTCGTCCTCAGCCGCAGTGCTGAAAATGAACCTGAGGTACAGGAGACCCTGCTGAAACAAAGAAAGGAAAGACAGAAGGAAGAGAAGGGGGGAGAGTGTGCCCACCTACTCCCTCGGAGGCTTGCAGAAAAAAAACAAAAGTCACAGTGTTAACTATGAACAACATAAAGTATCACGAAACAATAGTCCCATAGCCTGTCTGTTCAGGCGCTCGGTTTCACAATATTGAGGATAAGGAAACTCGGACTGCCAGGAGCATTTACAAAAAGAGCCAAAGAGAGCAGGGAACAGATTGGAAGCCCATGGGGATATTTCTGTCATCTGTTGACTAGGATGAGGGGTTCTGATCCCAAGGGCATGACGGCGGGGTCATGCCAGAAAGAACAATCTGTCAGATCTAGTTAGAGGAGAAGACAGTGAACAGTGGTGCCCAGCTCCTAACTGACAGTCCATTTAACGAGGTGGAGGAGTCAGGTGGGATGTGTGTTTCGTGTGCTTGAAAGTGGGTCTTTCCGATTAGTTCTTTCTTCAACTCAACGTGTAAGACACGTCTAACCGGATTCCCATTTACCTCACCAGAAATCTACAGATCTCTTGGCTTTTTAAATTCGTGTGCGTCCAGCAAAGGCAGAAGAGAGCCTGGGTCTGTTTCCGAGGTGAGGCTGACGCAGGATTCGGTTACATCGTGAGTGGCTTGGACGTGGCGATGTGTGCACGCTGCCCGGCTCTTCTTTGTCTGAGGTATCCCAGAGACATTAGCATTTCTCTCTTTGAAGTACTGTAACACGAGCTTACCATTCAGCTGCTGAAACTTTAGAGCCATCTGAAATTTTATTAGTCAAGAGTAAACACATTGTAAGATGCAAACATATTTAATTGTAGTTTTGATTTTTTTTTTTTTTTTGGGTTTTCGAGACAGGGTTTCTCTGTGGCTTTGGAGCCGGTCCTGGCACTAGCTCTGTAGACCAGGCTGGTCTCGAACTCACAGAGATCCGCCTGCCTCTGCCTCCCGAGTGCTGGGATTAAAGGCGTGCGCCACCATCGCCCAGCTTGATTTGTACTTTAAATGGCCTCTCTCATCAGGGTGATTTATCTCTTGTATCAAAACTGGGTTTCATGGGGGGGGGGGGGAAGAGAGTTCTATTTTTTAAAATCCTGATGAGTGTGCTTCTTAAATTAAAAATGAATTAGATAATTGATGCTTAAAAATATACATTTGCACAATCTAACATTTCAAATAAGCAAGGCCTATCTGTTAAGTTAATATACCAAATTCCGGTGCTTTATTAATTTAATGCGGCCATCTCTGGTGTGGGAATTTAGTAATGAGCAAAGTACAGCGTAGTGTGGGGCATACAGGTGTCCTAAAGGTAAGAGAATTTTCTGTGGGGAGGAAGAGCTAGGAGGGAAGAGTAAGCAGCAGAGTGGAACTCTCCTGTCCCTGTCGTCACGGCATTCGGTGGCCCGCTTTTCTATTCTCTCCACTCAGTAGTTAAGTCCAGCAACACAAAGAAATGCAGCCAAGAGCCCAGAATGTCAGAACTCCTCTGGTTGAGATAGGAAACACTAAATATTCAAAACCACTGAATTCATAATAAGGTGTTAACCGGACGTCTGTCTTCTGGTCTCTCGGTCTCCGTGGATACGGATGAGGCCGAGGCTGTTAGCCTGGTGTGTTCACACCATTTCCTTTATTGCACGTGGGTGATCTTTTATTTTCTTTTTTAAAAAAGTTTATTAGAATTTATGTATTTTGATCTTTTATTTTCTGGCAGTGTCTGCTCCCCCACCCCCATCCTTTGTTACTTTTCTTCTGCACACCCATTACGTTAATAAACTCAAGCCTGTCCAGGCTTCAGTAGTCAAGGATGTCCGTGCATTCGTGCCGTGTCCTCACTGTTTTGTGTGACCCTTAGAAACAGAAATGGTTCCACGCCGAACTTTCTGTTTGACTTGTTGTTTTTCCGTCTGCTCCGTTGGAGTTCCTTTCATGGGCTGTTTGTATCTCATTCCTTCTGGCTGCCGCACAGGGTGTATGTCAGTGGCCACCCTCGCTTGGTTTTACTCAACCTCGTGAAATGACTTCATGGCGTAAGTCGACACCTAACTGGGTTTGTGTTCCCAGGGCAGGTTGGAACAGGCTTTATGGCTGATTGGAGTGTTACTAGCAACAGACAGGAACGGAAGGCCCGTGTTCCCAGTGCATTTGTTATACCCCTGCCTCCCGATGGTTAACCCACCACTGCCCAGTCATTTGTTCCTGTGTCTGAGACGTTAGTAACGGACTCCCAAGGGTGGTGCTGAGACGCTGACGTGAAGTAGCACACATAGACCAGCAAGCCTGGGTACTGAATTGTGCTTGCACTTCTCTTGAGACGGCCTTTCCTTTCAAACGGAGCTATGGGTGTGACCAGTGGCCTGGCCGCCCTGGAAAGGTGACTGGTGATGTGCACCTGTAATCCAAGCCCTCGGGAGACTGAAGAAGCCAGCCTTGTCTAACACAAAACAAAGCAAAACGCCACACAGCACGCAGCAAGAACAACAGCAAAAGACAGAAACTAAACTAAACTAAACTAAAGGAAGGAGGTGACGTGGATTAGCTGTGGCTGGGGTGATGTTTGTCTCATATAAAATAAGGGTAACAGGAACGTGTGGCCTTTTCCAAGCCCCACCTCATTCAGCCCTCACAGCTGCCCTCTGAGGTGTGGCCTGCATTTCTGGAAGAGAGGACACAGGAACAGAAAGTACTTAGCACAGTTTGGGTGTAGTGATGTGTGTGCTGCTAGGCTGTGCAGACGTGTGGTCTAAACTCCGGGTAGAGCATTCACGGTCCCTTTAATGCTTTTGTGAGTTGCTCTGTTTCTTTTGACGTAGTCTCAAGTAGCTGAGGCTGTCTTTGAATTCCTGATCCTCCTACTTCTGTCTCTTGAATGCTGGGAATACATGTGTGTGCCATTACACCTGACTAATGTGTTTTTACAAAACATAACTTCTTGGGGTGCCTGCTGCATGTCTAATGCCTTGCTGTATATGTGGAAAATATAAAGCACAGTCTGGATATATCTATATCTATCTGTACCTATCTATACGCACACGCCTTTAATCCCAAAACTCGGGAGGCAGAGGCAGGTGGATGGATCTCTGTGAGTTCAAGACCAGCCTGGTCTACAACAGCTAGTTCTAGGACAGGCTCCGAAGCTACAGAGAAACCCTGTCTTAAAAAACCAAAAAAAAAAAAAAAAAAAAAAAAAAAAAAAAAAAAAAAAAAAAAAGAAAGAAAAAGTTTAAAACAGAGATTTTTGTCCACAAAATTATCATTTTGATTTTTAAATATGAGGTAATATATTTTGAGAATTTTGACCCCCACAGTTGAAAACTCTGTTAGAGACCCACTGTAGAGGTAACTGACTTCAGCCAACACAGGCAGAATTATGAACATTCATGCTCAATATGTTTAAATTTTCCTTTGACTACAAAGGTAAATATAAACCCATGACATCTGCCCGTTTGTTCTAGCTGGACCTCACCTGTGAAAGGGAGCCTTTGGAGGGTCTCTGCGGGCTAACCAGCAGGTCGCAGGGGCTGCCTGAGGCTGAGACAGCTGCTGAGCAGCTGCTCAGTCCCCGCCCTCAGCTCTCCCGCAGTACGAAGATATTCCATTGTTTTGAGCACAACACAAGCGGATATTTAGCTGGCTGATGAAATCCAGGAAGAACTATTTTAGCTGGGCTATTCACGCAAAGAGCCTGATTTGTGGGTAATGTTCAGGAAACAAACCTGTGTGGTTTCAGAACTGGCTGCTTAGCCCTCTCCACTCAGAGAGCTCTTTCTCTAATCTACAGAACCTGTTTTTAGGGTGTGTGCAAGCGACTCAACTCATCCCAGCCCCAAACTGAAATTCCAATTCGATAAAAAAAGATCACTTCAGCTGTTGGAAGCCACTTGTGAATTTCGGCCTGAAAACCAGTCAGGCAGCAGATGGGCAGAGAGCATGGGCTGGATGACTCTGAGGCCTGAGCCAGCCGGTTCGCCTTAATTCCAGGCTTAGCTCAGAGAGAATCAATGTGGAATGCTTTTCTTTTAAAGGGGCAGTGCTACATTTTTCTTTTTGTCTTGTCTTTTGGTTTTGTGTGTTATTTATTTGAAGCATTGGAGACTGAGCTCGGTCCTACCCACCAAGCATTCTCCATTCTTTTCTTTTGTTGACAGAGTTTCACTTTGCAGCCAGGTTGGCTTGAGGTCCTCCTGCCTTGGCCCCCAGAGTGCTGGGTACAGGTGTGCCCCGTCATGCCCAGTTTAAATTATTTTGTTTGCTTTTTTTTTTTTTTTTTCCAAGATAGAGTTTCTCTGTAGCTTTGGAGCCTGTCCTGGAACTAGCTCTTGTAGACCAGGCTGGCCTCGAACTCAGAGATCCACCTGCCTCTGCCTCCCAAGTGCTGGGATTAAAGACAATTTTGAATTTAAGTCTGGATCAAGGATGTGGGGCTACAAAGATCCTCCATTTTGAGGCAGTGACGCAGCAATAAGAAAGGACCAAAGAGGCTGAAAGCTCTGGCCTGACTGGAGACCTGACTTTTTTGTTGGGTGGGCCAATGACCTGGCTCCAGGACCACCTCTAGGAAGCAGGTCACCAGACGCCATTCTAAAGAGAAGATGGAATAAATACACCTTAATGAGATAATGTGCCTTTCCTTCCCAGAATTCCTACCTCAGCAGGGTAGTTGCAGGGCTACACCCGGCCAGTTTCATAAACCAGAAGAGACGCTCACTATCCCACAGGAGCAGTGGCTCTGGCAGGCCTGCCCTTTCCCCCAGTTCCCGCTGCATTGATCACCTTCCTGAAGCTAGCCACATGGTCTATTCCCTTATTTGGCCAATCCCTCCTCCAGAGGCTGACTACCAAGGTCCAGCTATCAAAGTATTGAAATCCAGCAATCAGAAGCCCACTTCGGCTCACTTAATTAACACGCCCAATTAAAATTAAACACCTCATCCCAAGGCAGGTCTTCCCCTCCCACCTTTTATAAGGGTCATCTTCCTGTAAGCCACACCCGTTTCCTCTCATCCAGAGGCAGTCTTTGCCCCCCCCCCCAGGACAAATACCCCTTCCCCGTGCCCCTTCTCCCTTCCATCTCCCGCACCCTCTATCTCCCGTCCATCCTCACCCCTGCCCTCTGTCCCTCTGGGGCAATCTCCTTTGTGCTGAGAACTTGGTCTTGGGGTCCTGAGCTGCCAGGTTTCCTTTCAAAGCCTACCTGCTTCTCTGAACTTAGGAAAGGTAGTTTTTCTCCTCTCTCTTGCTCTAAGCGTCTGCCTCGCTGCTATTGTTTCTGACCTCCGTGTCAGATAAACTCAAATGGATTTTGTGTGTGTGTGTGTGTGTGTGTGTGTGTGTGTGTGTGTGTGTTTTCCTTTTCCATTCTCCTCTGGGCAGGAGATTTACAGCTTGTCTGCCTGGCCTTGCTTTGGTTGTAACTGCTAATAAAACTGTTCCCGAGCTTACATTTGAGTCCATTCTGAAGTTATCTTATTAAGGAGACTAAGAGCCCCAAAAGGGGCTGCCAGTTCCTCCAGGATTGTGAAGATGGTTCACTGGGCATTTTTTTATTTTTTATTTTATTTATTTGTTTTTGTGACAGGGTTCCTAGCTGCCCTGGAACTCACTCAGCCCTCAACTTCACAGAGATCCATCCACCTGCCTCTGCCTCCCAAATATTGAGATTAAAGGTGTGCACCAACAC